AGATTTGAACCAATTAAATTGCCAACCCTGCTGTGATTTTATCTCCAAGAAAAGTTTGTGCGCGCAATTTAACAAACACTGCAAATCTTTGTTTTACAAACCATTCAGAGACAAAGTTTTGGTGTTCAATTAAGGGTAAATCTCAACTAGTAAATTTTTTTCTAAAATAAGAAATAATAAAATAAAAGACCACATGGCAGTTGGTTGCGCATAAATTAATTTATAATGAATGCATTGTTAAAAATTGTTAAATGAATGAATAAATTAATTTTATTTAATTATTTAATAGCATAAATAGCATAGATACTGACATTTAAAGATACAAAGCATTTTATTTCTAAAAAGACAATTCCTTATTTTTTTTTTATTTATAAAATAAGGAAATTATATTTATTATTTCTTTTTTGGTAAAATTTAACCAAAAAAAAAAATTATTGACGTTCAAATAAAATAAATGGAACATCAAGGTTTATTAGCAACTTATGGAATACCTATAACACCTGGCTCACGCCCACCCAATAGTAGTAATGTTGGCCGGAGATCCACAGGTACTGTTGCTAGTCGTACCAGTAATAGGTATTCTGTGACGGCATTATACTCAATGGCTACTGAACAAGATGTTGAAGTTGAAGATGAATTGGCAAGAGGTAAAGTGAGAGGGGAACAATTTATATATGAAATTTTTAATTATAACTATATTATATTCATATTGACATTTATATATTATTAATATTTAAATTAAAAAGCACAAAGAATTTTAAGAGATCTTAAAATTAAGATATCTTCACAATCCAAGAAAAACTTTGTATTAGAACGAGACGTTAGATACTTGGATTCTCGTATTGCATTGTTAATACAGAATCGAATGGCATTAGATGAGGTAGTTTTCAACAAGATTAGAATGATTTAAAGTATACACTTTTTTTTTTTGTTTTTTATTGAATTTTATATATTTGCAAAAATTCGTGAACAAAGATTTAGAATGCATATATATATCTTGATCCTATATACAAAAAACAATTTATATTTCTAATTATAATAAAGAAACAAGAAGTGGAGAGTCATCTTGAAGAAACTGATCCACAAGATGGTAATTTCCCGGATGATCGAAAATTGCAATTATATGGAAATCTTTTCTTTTTGCTCCAAACAGAGCCTGGCCATATAGCAAATTTATGTCGCCTAGTAGCACTATCAGAAATCGACACATTGTTACAAACGGTCATGTTTACTTTATATGGGAATCAGTATGAAAGTAGAGAGGAACATTTATTATTGACCATGTTTCAAGTAATTTCTGTTTAATTAATTATTTTTAATACTTGAAAATTTTTTCTTATTAATAATAATATTTTTTTTATAGTCAGTGCTTTCTGCACAATTTGAAACAACGGCAGATTTTAATTCTCTTCTTCGAGCAAATACTCCCGTATCACGTATGATGACAACATATACTCGTCGAGGGCCAGGTCAAAGCTATTTAAAATCTATGCTATCTGAACGAATTAACAATTTAATAGAACACAAAGATTTAAATCTTGAAATAAATCCTTTGAAGGTGTGTGAAAAAACTTTGGATTTTATAAATTTGTATTGTTTTGTTTAAAATCATGCATATATATATATATATATATATATATATATATATTGGCTAATATTAGGTTTACGAACAAGTTGTTAAAAAATACGAGGAAGAAAATGGATCTCTTCCACCTGATCTTCCACGTAGTGTAACTACCGAAGTTGCTGCTGCAAACCCGGAAGTTATGAATATAATTCAACCTCGAATGAAAATGTTGATTGAAATAGCCAATAAATTTCTTATTACTATAATTGAATCTATAGAACAAGTACCTTATGGTATTAGATGGATATGTAAACAAATTAAATCATTAACAAAAGTAAATGTTTATTTATTTATTTATTGCAACTATTATTTAATTCACAACTTGTTCTTACATGATATTATGTTTTAGCGTAAATATCCAAATGCAACTGAAATTGCCATATGTTCCTTGATTGGTGGTTTCTTCTTTCTTCGATTTGTTAATCCTGCAGTTGTGACTCCTCAGGCATACATGTTGGTGGATGGTGTGCCCAGCACTCATCCTAGAAGAACTTTAACACTGGTTAGTTGGATTTTTTTTGAAGAAAGATATTATTTATTTATAAATTGTTATTGAACTAAATTTTTCAATCGATTCATGATTAAATTAGGTTGCAAAGATGTTGCAAAATCTGGCAAATAAACCATCTTATGCCAAAGAAGATTATATGGGAGTGCTTAATGATTTTGATTTTGTTGAAAATAACAAACAAAAGATTAACAAATTTTTGTTGGAATTATGTGAAGTAGGAGATTTTTATGAAAGTTTAGAGGTAAATATTTATTACATTTATGTAGACACATTTTATTTATTAGCCTTTAATTTTAATTTTATTAAACTTGAATTTATTATTATTATTATTTACTATTACTATTACTATTTAGATGGATCAATACATTGCTCTTTCAAAGAAAAATATAACGTTGAATATTACTCTGAACGAGATTTACAATACACATGCATTGCTTTTACAGCATCAGGATGTTTTAGTATGGAAAAAAAATTTTTTTTCAATAATAATATCAAGTCAAACAAATTATATAAGATAATATTGATTTGATTTTTTAATTAATTAACAATTTAATCAACTTTTATTTTAATAGGCACCCTCTGAAAACAACCATTTAAGGATTCTACTTGACGATTTAAGTCTAGCTCCTTCTCAAGTCCCTAGAAATGAAAATAAAGCCATCGAACTTCCTTTATTCAGTAGATGGGAAACACCAATACAAGGTATATTTATAAAAATTTCAAGATATATATATATTATAGTAAAATTTTATATGCACTACCACCACTAGTACCCTAATAATATGAGAGTTAGAGTAGGTATTAAATTATATATGGTGGAAAATCTAATTAATTCTTGAGGATTACAAAAAAATTTTTTCAAAACAATTTGAATATTTTTTATCATTATTATAATATTTTTTTTTTAATTTTAAATGACAGAGAGAGATAATGATAACAATAATAATTTATTTAATCTCAAAATATTTTGTTTAGACATTGCCACTTCTCTTTTGGCCGATAATAGCTTGACACAAAATGATATTTTATATATGGAGACAAAATCAATCATCATACAGATTATTCGTTCCATACCACAAATGGCTGAGCGTCGTCCAATAGATTTACTGTGGATAGCAGAGACTGCAGCGACAACAAAAGACGCATTACTGGTTAGAAAGGGCATTAAAGTGAAAGAGATGTTACGTGAATTAGAAGAGGCTAAAGTTATAGAACGATCTGATGGGCATCTATTAATGACCGAAGAAGTTGAACAAGAACTTGCACATCTTGGAAATCTTCGAGAAGGTGTCACTAAAGAAATTAGATCACTTGAATCTGTTTATAAAACCATATGCGATCACAATAATTATTTGAGAAGTCAATTGGATAATTATAAAATATATTTACAAAATGTTAGAAAACATGCAGCTAATGATTCAGCTGGTGGTTTTAATTCAAGTGTAGTTAAAGTGGGTGATAAACAAAAGAAACCTCAGAAATCAAAAATTATAGGTCCTTACAAATTTACATATATTCAATTAGAAAAAGAAGGAATTATTGAAGACAGTAGTGTTCCTGATAATAGGTAAGTTTTGATAAATTTTGATAGATGAATCGTTCAATCAATAAATCAATAGACAATTTATTTTATGTCTGGAAAAAAATTATTTAGACGGGAAGGGATATTTTTCAATATTTCATCGCCACTGCCTGGAGCATTTATGATTGCTCTTTACTATAAAGGCCGTGATGCTGCTATTTTAGAAATGGATCTGAAGCTTGACGATCTTTTGGAAAAAGTGAATATTATTTATATGTGAATATATATATATATATATATACATGAATATATTAATTAATTCTTAAAATTTTTTTTATTAGCAACAAGATAATGTTTTATCAATAGACCTTGAATATGTTAGATTGAACGTCAACAAGCTTTTAAATTTGTTGAACAAGACATTTACCAAAAGAAAGACGTAGTTATTGTACATAATTTTTATTGTTTATTAGTTATAATAATTCTAATTAATTAAAAACCTTTTTTCTTTAATAGGGATATGACTATCAGTGAATGGAGTAAAATGTGTATTTCCTCTTGCGTGCAACAACCTGTTTGATGATAATTTTTTAAAATTTATATTTATTAATACATGCATATTTATTAATTTTATAATTTAATTTGTTTAAATTATATATTTTTACAAGTAACGTTGTAATAATAACATAATAATAATAATAATAAATAATAATAATAACAATAATAATGTTTTAAAGAAACAAGTTCCAAGTAAAAAACATTTTTATGTAAAGCCATTCACGTATATTTATATACACTCAATCTTGACAAAGTGGAATAATTAATCCTTTCACGATTGTTTGATTGGTTTGCTTCACTTTAACTATCGGTCGATTTCCACTTAATTTGGTAAGATCAACGCTACTATAATCTTATTTCTCACTCGCATGTAAACTGGATCTAAATATTTTTTGTAATTTTTTACTTGCTATGGTTCAGCTAATTGTTTTGGGGCGTGTTTTTTAGGAAGCGAAATTTTTGAATTTTGTTTAGGATGAATCTAAATTGGTTATAGATCTCTTATTACCAAGTAAGTTAATCGATGGATGATTAGTACTAAGATCTAAGTTAGATAACCCATTCTAGGTTGAGTGAATTTAAATGTGGGGCAATCTAATTTGTTGTTCTTTGCAGAAGTAGGAAATTGAAAACTTGAAAAAAAAGAATCGTTGAATTAATAATACTTGTTACTATTATCAAGAATTTGAACCCTTGTAATTATTCCGTTACTTTATTAATATTATTTGTTCCACCACGTTTACAAATTTGACCACTCACAGTAAATTTTTTTTTTGCGCAAAATGAACGGCTCTTCAAAATCATCGTATGGTAATTGCGATACGTGCGATCAACCACAAACTGACAACGGATGGTGTTCTGTGTGCCAAACTAAAATATTTCAAGAGAATTTTATAAATTGGACGAGTGGTAATCAAAAAATTGATGAACTAATCCAGGAGACGCAAATTAATCCAATCAACCCTGGTCGAATATTGGAATGGATACCATATGAAAAGATTAAAATCGTGAAAAAAATAGGCAAAGGTGGCTTTAGCACTATTTATGAAGCAATTTGGACTGATGGCCCAATAATTTGGGATGGTGTAAAGTTGAACAGAAAATCTAATTGTAAAATTGCTTTGAAAAATTTGGATACTTCATCTGAATCTTTGAGTGACGAATTCTTAAACGAGGTAAAATTAATTATGTAATTATTTAATTATTTGATAATTTAATTACTTTGACGATGAATAAAAAAAATTTTTATTTCTTTCAAAAAAGTTAAAACTTCATTTACATTGTAATAGTATTTTTGTTTTGAAATGCTATGGTATAACAAAAGACAATTCAACAAAAAATTATATGTTGGTATTATTACATGCAGGAGCTGGTGATTTACGTAAAGACCTTATTTTAAATTCAAAGATGCGATCATGGATGGGTAAAGTAGCATTGTTGGAAAGTGTTATCGTTGGTTTAGCAACAATTCATGAAGCAAATGTGGTACATCGTGATTTTCATTCTGGAAATATTTTACGTGATCAAGGTTGGACTTATATTAGTGATTTGGGAATGTCACGTCCAATCACTACCACCAACAACAACTCAACCACAAAAAATGCAATTTATGGTGTGTTGCCATATGTAGCACCCGAAGTATTGAAAGGTCAAGAGTATACAAAGGAAAGTGACATTTATAGTTTTGGTATGGTAATGTGGGAGATAACTTCATGTCAACAACCATTTTCTGATAGGCCACACAATATAGAATTGGCAATGGATATTTGTGGTAGTAGTGGTAAAGGAGAAGGATTAAGACCTCCTATAATTGATGGTACCCCAGAATGTTATGTAGATTTGATGAAACAATGTTGGGATGCTGACCCATCAAAAAGACCTACAGCAGAAGAAATTAAACAAGTCATTAGATATAAATGGTATACCCTTACCATCTATATTAATCAATTTGTAAATGCAGAAATATTTAGGATTAATTCATTAAAGATTCAAGATAAAGACAAAGAGAAAATACATCCTAATGCTATATACACTAGTAGATTACTCGATTTCACTGATGCAATTCAAACATTTGACAAAAGGGAATTTAGAGGTATTGATTATTATTTGTTGGATTGATTGATTGATCATTTGTTTTGTTCATTAATTTTTTATTGGTATTAATTTACCACAGATTCAGGTCAATTAAGTCTCAAATTACCAAATACAACAGGAATTTTAAAGTTAAATGAAAATTGATTTATTAAATAATTAAAATATCAACTATAAAATTTAATAATTCCTATCAATAAAAACATACATAAACTTTCTTTTGCCTAGATTGCTTTAATTCTACACATTGATCATTAATATAAATGGGCCATGCTTGCAACAAAACCAAAGTGAACATTGGTATTACCAAGAATTTCAGGGATCAAAAATTTAATCATTTGTAATGTGATCATAATTAACAGTTTTATAATATCCCATTTGTTATCTTAAGTGATATATAGAACTATCCCTATATAAAAATAGTTAATGTGAAATTCATTCACATCAGACCTACTATGAAAGCCAAGAATTATAGTACTATCAGAAGTATTTTAAAAAAGGAACAAGGTGAAAAAATCGCTCCTTATAAATACTCAGACACTTGAAGCCTATCTAAGGAAAGAAAAGATTACTAATGGAATTTACCAAGAAGAAAGAACAATAATAAATGTTAGAGAAAGAAAGCAGCATGAAGATGTGCTATTACCCAACAAAAAGCAGAACCATAGTTGTTTCCATAATTGTATTTGTATTTGCCATATATTAATGAAAATTTCTAATTCTATCTAGTATGTCAGCTGATAAAATAAATCAAAAGGCTCTTCATAAACAGTTAGTTTGAAGCTTGAATTAACAAAAAATGAAGAGTTTTTTTTTTTAAATCCCATTCTAGATGGAGCTATGAGCTTTTAAAAATTATCATTATTCTATGTTTGGCCTCAATTTGTCCACCATAAATCTTACCAAAATTGCTAAATTTGGCTGGAATTAATTTTAATTCCATGTTATACCCATCACGTGATTAAATATCAATTCAATTTTTTAGCGCAGGGTTTTTTTTGTTCAAAAAATCTAACTCTTTTTTGAAATTTACCAATTAATCATGCCTAAACTTACAAAGCAAAAAGACACTTAAATAGACTTGCTTTAGACAAAAAAAATAATAGCTCATCTGGTAATGAAAATCAATTAGAATCTAATTTAGAACAATTTTCATGTGAAGAATCTGAGGAAAGTTGGTTTGAAGAAGGAATAGATAGAGAATTAGATGAAAATTCTGTAAAATATATTGATATCCTCAATGAATTCATGAAAAATTACACTTCATCATCAAGACTTTTGTGCTATATAGGTAACTCTTCCAAAACTTATGGCTGGAAACAAAGTGAGGCTAAGAAAAATGCTGAAAAAATGGTCAATTAATAACTGCATTTTTTGAAAAAAGTGGAGCAGATTTTAGTAGTGAAAATGAAAGTTCTGAGGAATTTATTGAAAGTAATGATAAAGAAATGACAGAAGTTGCAATTAGCAACTTAGAGAAGCAGCTTAAAAACAATGATTTTAGTAATGGATATAAATTATGACTTACAGCTGTGCTTCAATATTTAAAATTAATAAATTAGGTAAAAAAAGTTAGAATCAAGCATATCTATTGCAAATCAATTAGATAAAGGTAAATACTTTGCTCACTGTATTTGAGAATGGGCACAAATTGTCAAAGAAGGAGATCCTGTTCCATTTTCAAATCATGGTTTGCATAGAAAAACATCAAGTTTACTAGATGATGAAGACATTAAATTAAGAATAACAGAATTTTTACATGAAAAAAATTTTAAATTTAATATTAATGATTTTATTAATCACCTTTCATCTGTTATTTTTCCATATGTTGGGGTTGAAAAAGAAACAAACATATGGTGAGTTCTCATTAAATATATATAAATTAATTTGAACTGCAGTCAATATTTATTCATTCAATATTTCATTCATTAGCTGTGAAACTGCATGCCAATGGCTGCATAAAATGGGATTTTACTTCAAAACTTATAGCAAAGATGTCTATTATGATGGACATGAGCATGAAGATGTCATTGAATATTGCAAAAAGTTCTTAGAAACAATGAAAGAGTATTTATGAATTATTTACTATGCAAAATATTATTAAACTAAAATCAATCAATCAATCAATCAATTATTATTTTTTAGATATGAAAGGTTGATGCCAAAATATATAGGAAACAATCTTGAAATTTGCATACTTCCAGATCTCAATGAAGGTGAAAAAATCCATATTTTTGTAACCCATGATAAGTCTACTTTTCATTCCAATGATGGTACAAAATCTGGTTGGGGTCCTTCTAATCAGCAATCTTTATTGAAAAAAGGAGAAGGACATGGATATCATGTTAGTGATTTTCTTTGTGAATCAATTGGATGGCTAAAACTTTCACCAGAAGTTAAGGAAAGAATTAATGATGAAAAGTTTCCAACTGAAGCTTGTGTTTTTTTGTCAATTGGAAAACAGCATGAAGGGTATTGGAATATTCAAAAATTAGCTGAACTGGTGAAATATTGTGTTATTAATATTAATATCATTGAATTTTTTACTAATGAATTTTTACTTTTATAAAAAGATAATCCAAAAAGCTGTACCAATTTTTGAAGCAATGCATCCAGGTTGTGTTGGAATATTTGCTTTTGACAACTCAACTTCTCATGGTGCATTTGCTGATGATGCATTGATTGCAAAACATATGAATTTAAATCCTGGAGGTAAGCAACATAAATTGAGAGATACTGTATTTAATAATCAAGTTCAAAAAATGGTGTTTCCAGATGGTCAACCGAAAGGTATGTGTATTGTTTTGCAAGAGTGAAATTTATGGAGAGATGGGTTACAAGCATTTTTTGGTAATGATTCAAATGAAAATAATGATTGTTGCGCTCGTCATATTCTGGAAGCCCAGCCTGGTTTTCTAGCTCAAAAACCATTAATTCAAGAAATAATTGAGCAGAGGGGACACAAAGTAATATTTTACCCAAAATTTTACTGTGAACTGAATTTTATTGAGAGATACTGGGGAGAGGCCAAACGATATGCAAGAAACAATTATGATTATTCTTGGAATGGATTGAAAAAGGTGGTTCCAAAAGCATTGGATTCTGTATCACTAGAACATATTAGGAAATATGCTAGACATTCTTTTCAGTACATGGATGCTTATAGGAATGGACTTACAGGTGAGCAAGCAAAATTTGCAATTAAGCAATATAAATCTTATAGAAAAGTAACCCACAATATTTTTAATAATGAAAACAATGAGTAAAAATTTCTGTAATAAAAAATATTATGTGATTTGTGGATCTAACAACGTTACACCTGTGTTCATATATAATTTTCAAATTTGGCCACTAATTATGTCAATTGCTGGGACTAGACTAGACGCACCATACTGTTAAAAATTCTAATTCTAACAAAAAAAAATGAAAAAAAAAACCCCCTGTAGTAGGAGGAAACAAATAAATTATTGTTTTATCCTAATATTCAATATATTAATACTCTACGGCTTAGCGAATGGACCAAATTTAAAGATCACAATTATTTTTAATATTAATATTTATAACTATTGTCAAAATGGCTTGAAGTTCAAATTTTATTTTATTAAAAGAAATAAGATTTATGGACTAAATAATAACATAATAATATTAATATATTAATAATAAACAAACGGGAATTCCATTGAAGACCATCCAGTTTTGCAATGGATGCATTAATTCCTCTTCTTATTGCTGGTACTAATTCATTTACGGTTTTAATATTTGTGTAGTAGTAGTAATAATAATAATAATATTAATATATACAGTGGTGCAAAAAAAAATGACAATCTTTTTGGAAAAAGATCAACAAGTGTAACTTCCTCAATTTTAGTCATAATACTAATATATACTGTAATAATAAAAAGATTAATATTAATATGTATGTACAATTAATAAAGGCTCAACAATTACTCTATCATTTCCAAGTATCATTTTTTCTAACAATTAATAAAATTTCTATTTTATCAAACATCAAAATGGTGCATCTAAGCAAGAAACCCAACGTCAAATGATATTACACTTCTGGCAGCAGGGAATATGACAGCTGCTGAAATACATTCTTTGACAAAGTTTCCACTTAAAACAATATATCGAAACCTTAAAAAAATTGAAGAAACTGGAGATGTAAAGCACAAAGGTGGTAATGGTCATATTAAAAAAATACAACATCCAATCCTCTTGACGGCAATGATAATAACATAAAGTATTCCTTAATCATAGAATGCCACTTCGAATGCAATGTAAAAAAGCAAGATGCACTTTTTTTTGCTATTTTTGATCTATGTACAATGGGATAGCGGGTCTATTTGTATGTTTATTTAATAATTTATTAGTATTAACTACTCGATTAATCGTTGCTTGCATCAGTGTTGAAAATTCAATGTATTAACATAAATTTGTGTATTAATATGTATTGTTTAATAATATACAATACATGATGCTAATAATACTATTAAAGCAAATATATAAATGACAATATTAACAACCTTTCGAATTAACCCATAAAATAATAGTCATTTTTTATCTTTTTCATGATGGAAAAAACCTTTAATAAGTTAAAAGATGATAAACTAGAAAATTTTAAGAGAATCTTAGAAAAACATTCTCAAGAACTTGAGGAAAATTTCCTTTTTAGAGATATTTCTAAAGTATGGGGTTATAATTATAGAGAAGATAATACATTAAAATATTTTGTAAAGCTTTCTTTGGCTGATATAAAAACCATTCAAAATATTCACAAAGATTGGCATAAATACAACGCAAACCTCGTTAAAGACAACAAAGAAATTGAATTCGAAGAAACTATTAATGGAAAAACAAGAATAAAATTATTAAATGTATTTAATAAAAATTTATTAAATAAGCAAGACAAACAAATTTTATGCTATTTCTACTTTTTGATAGTAGATTATGCTTTTGGTTATGTTCACTTTAGTGAAAATGACCAAAGTGAAAATAGCGGTCATGTGAAAATTGAACGTGACTACATAGAAATCAGTGTAGAACTTGTTATCAAGAAATTAATGAATATCTTTGATGCTTTAAAAGATGATGATTTCAATGATAAAAAGATGGCTGGCATTTTCTTCGCACTTATTGTTTTGTGTAATGAATTTAATGACAATCTCAATAAAAAAAACATAAGTCCAATAACTGAATATTTAGAAAAAAAAGGAGACATATTCAAGGTCTATGGAAGTCGTTTATGTGCACTAAGAATAAATTATATGAAATATATTGGTGTTTTTCCTATAATCGAAGACAGCAATAAAAATTCAAATGAGTTAGTAGACAGACTAAGTAAAGAATGCTCTCTTATCTTCAATGAGAAAGATATTATTTTTTTTAGTAGTACTTCTACCAAATTTTTTTTCGATCAAGATCATGCTATCAAATTTATATTTTAGGACACCTCAAAAATGTAAAATATAAAGTTATAAAGAATAACTTCCTTGATATTTTTTTTGCATTCTATTTTTGCTTTATGGAGTAAACTACGCTCGCTTTGGTTAAACCTAGCAGTTTTATAATTTTATTGGTAATAATAATAGTACTAGTACTAGTAAAAGAAATAAGACCTTAGTTATAATTTTACAAGTAGTCAAATATAATTAGTTGCATCAAGATGTGAATTAATATTTTATATTTTATATATAAAACTAATAAAACGAATATATATTAAACCGGTTTTAGTTTGGTATGTCCAATTAATTTTCAATTGGATAATAACTATTTAAATGTCATTAATAGATATTAATACAAATAAAATCGTGAAGTCACTGAATTATAAAAAAAAAGTTGTTTAAGATTTATTTAAAATAAAAAATATTCGGCACAAAATGTATGACCTTTGTACTATGCTTTGGATATTTTTTATTAATATTTCAAATATATTTTATATTTATTTATATTTATCTTAATCTGCTTTATTCAATATTTATTGTTTATTTGAATAAAACACAATGATAAAATAAAACAAATATATAAAACGAATAAAACGAATAAAACGAATAAAACGAATAAAACGAATAAAATGAATAAAACAAATATTTATATTTATTATGATTTATTATGTGACAAAATTTAATTCGCCTCATAATAATAATAAGTTTCCTTTGAAAATTTCTGATTATTGTTTAGTAGATGGGAAATGGTCTACTATCATCTAATTTATTCTGGCTATTGTTTTTCACTCATCATTAATATAATCGAAACTTTAGGCTTTTAGCCATTAGCCTTAATATCCTTCAGTTGTAAGATTTGGACTATAATAAACTGGACGGTGATTTGACGGTGAAGGAGGAATCGTGTGCGAGTCTACTTAACAACTCAAGATAGAATATTAGTTGAGCTGGTGGTAAATCCGAATTTGTATTGTTTTCAAGAAGTATTCGCGCCCTTTCAATATCTGGTAGATGAATTTTAATTATTTTGCCATTAGATTTATTATAATTCTTTATTAAGTAACATTTTGATTTTTGTTACTATTTAAGTATTTTTCAAGTGTTATAAGTTTAGAATAAACTGGACGGTGATTTGACGGTGAAGGAAGAATTGTGTATTAGTATGTTGAATTAATTGATTTATTAGATTATTGTTATAATTCTTTTCACCAAGAAACATTTTGATTTTGTTATTATTTAAGTATTTTCAAGTGTTATTAGTATGGTTGGCTCGGTCTAAAGACCTCCTATTGCTGCGCCACGCGCTCAAATTTCAAAAATTGTGCAATAAAATTTTTTAAAAAAAGGTTACGCCAAATTTAGATATGATGGTCAAGTATTAGGCTAAGTTTAGGAATGATAATCAAAAACTAGTCTAAATTTAGCAATGATCATAGCGCTATGAGCATAGTAAAGTACATGTTTTAAAAAAGAATAGAACTCTACAATAAATAATTTTTTGGAGAAAATCTCTTCATTACATTAAAAGTAGAAACATATTTTACCAACTAATGAGGCTATTTTTTTAAAAGGTAGGACAGAAAATGACTTCTATACTTTTAAATTTGCCCAAAATTTAGGAGGTCTTTAGACCGAGCCAACTATATTAGTTTAATATTAACTTTCAATACTATGTTATGAGGTTTTATTAGAATTCTGTTATTTATATATTTTTTTATTTATTTTAGTCTATAAAAATAATACAATACAATTTATTAAATAAATTGATCCCATTGATTCCCAATTAATTAAAACCTTTATTACCAATTATTATTATTATTGATATCCAAAATACTTATAATTATCCAATTAATATTAATATTATTGTTATGCAAACGTTATGTTTTGACGCACCGAGGCCCGAGTCTGATGTTAGATGTTTTTTAAGTAACATAAGTGTTACCATCTTAATCTAACAAATTCAGGATCGTATAGCCAAATTGTAAAATAAGTTTGTTTCTGCCAAAGCTTTCCTTATTATTATTATTTTTTCTTCTGAATTGATAACAAAATTCAAAAAAACGTCTCAATAATCGAAGTCACCTTGTAAAGTTTTAAGAAAATACGGGTTTTTCTTATGTTTTCTGCTTGCTCGATCAAAGGTTGGTGACGAAAATAAATGTGATGAAATAGGGTTTTTACACTTTGAGTAATTTGACGAAAGTGCCAAAATCAACATAATAATAACAATAAAATAAACCAATTATTTTGTAGATTTTAAATTATGGAGTAAATAAAATTCATGATATCAAATTCTAATTCACCCAATTTACCAATTCCTTCTCAATCTTCTCAATCATTATCATATAACGAATCGGCAAATATTAAAATTAGATAATATATGTCATACTTTAAATCAGTTTATTTAACAAAATATATTTATATGAAATAATAAACAATACAATAATATCAAAATATTGATGACATTTACGCTTTAATAATAATTGCATTTCTATTGTTATTTTTATTCCTAACCATAATACCAAGATCATTAAAACTTTTTTCTAATTCAATAACATTATCTTTACTAGCACTAGCACATAACTCACTAAAAGCTTTCGTGATTATATTTAATGGGAAAGATATAAGTATACAATGAAATTCGTGAACATCATCACTGTTTGAACATAGTAATTCCAATGCAATTTTCTTCAATTCATCGTTAGCCTTGCCTTCCATTTTTTCTTTAACACTTTTAAATTTCTCAAAAGAAGGAAATTTTATGTTTGATTTTTTGCCTACCAAAATAGGTCTTGATTCTAAATAATTTTTGTATTCAAGTTCTGTAAGAAATATTTCTGTAGTACAAACACGTAATTTCTTTTTTGTTTTCATAATTATTATTATTATTATTATTAAAATTAACGTATTTATATGCAATTTAGCGTATTGTATTTGATACAAACTTGAATTACTAAATTAATGATTGTTTTTTAATTGTTTTTATCAAATAATTAATACAAATCTGACTGCATTATTCACAATTATTTTAAAGACTCTTAAAAATGTCCAAGCAGATTGAAAAAACTTTATTACCATTATAATTATGGGTGATGATAATGATGATAAACGTTATTTACTAATTATCACGGAACAAGAATATAATAGATATTTATCAAACGTTGATTCGTTTCCTTCAAGTGAAGTATTTAAAAAAAATCAAATCTGCTAAGACTCCAAAGAAGATTTTAAACATAATCCAAAAAAGTATAAATGATGTAACTAAACAAAAAACATGGGCAGTAAAATTTATTCCTAAGGTTACTATTAAATTACAATATTCGTAAAAAAAAAAATTATTATTATTATTATCAATGATAATCGTGTATTAGTATTAGTATTAGTATTAGTATTATTATTATACGTAGTATTAGTAGTTGTCCACAAAAAATATCCAATTTTTATTGATGGGTTGGGTGCGTGTTATCCTTATTTAGAAATCGATTTGGCGATTGCGGATATTTTTGTGGATTATAATTATAATAATTTTAATTTAATATAGCAATAGTGATCTCGCGATTGTGCACGGATGTTTAAAAAACAAAAATGAGTCACATCCAGAATAACCCCAATCACAATAACAATCAAGTTTATAGCAACAATAAATACAATTACAATAACAATCAATACTGCAAAAGCAGCAGTAGCAACAACAACAATAACACCAACTACAATTATAACAATAACGATTACAATAATACCATAAACAGCCACGATTCCAACAACAATTATATGAACAAATATAAAAACTACAACAACAGTAGTGACAGTGGCGGTAGCAATAATAATAAATATATTTACTACAATAACAATCGACAAGCAGATGATAATGCTACTGAAAACGACGATGACTTTGAAGATAATGATAAAACCTTAATCGTTAAGAAAATAAGATTTAAAAATAGTGACATTGATGATATTTATGCTGCTAGAATCCTCAAAACAAAAGATGGCGAAGTCCCAGGTGAAGAATTAGGAAAATTTATGAAAGAAATTGAAATCTTGAAAATGTTAGATGGAGAACAATTAATGAGATTAGCAAACGAAGATATAGATGATGAGAGCTTAGTTATTTTGCAAGATATAAATAATATAAATTCTGGACTTGATGGTGCTAATGCTGCCAATAACAAAAATAACAAAATAAAGTCATTTGGGATTTTTTTGATTCTCGTAATTATTTTATTTTTAATATTTCATTAAAAAAAATACATTTATAATCAATATGACATATTTTACCAATCACCATTAGTTGCAGCAGTTACAGCTTCTTGTAAAGTTAAATCAAAATACATTATCATCACCTTTAATTATAATAACAATATTTGTACTATTGTTATTGGCATAAGAATTGATGTTAAGGATATTGCTATTACTATTATCATCATTTTTTCAGAATTATTTTTCTCATCAACTTCTCCTATGATTTTATCTTGATCATTATTACCAATTTTCCATGATATGCTTGCTTTCACCTTTCAAGATTCCAAATACACCAACAATTAAAATATTTTAATACCATGATGTTTGATATGATGCTTGGAATACTTGTTCAATTCCTTTTCATGTCAATTAAAGATTGCAGTCCAGTTGAATCCATACAATAAATAAAGTTGGTGTCTGTAACTGTTTTCACATTTTCTGCAACTGCTGATTTTAAAGCTCAAGTTGCAACCCCCCCTGCAACCTCTGCAACTGTCTGCAACTATAATTATGATGACTTAATATCAAAAATGGAATCACATAACTGCAAAAATGGGATTTAAATAAAATCATTACTACTACTTTTATTGATTATTTCTAAATAAAAAAACATTCTTATTATCTTTTAATAAACAATATTATTTTTTATTATCACTATTGCCATCACTTTTACCATTAATTATCTTTTAAATAAAAACATTATCAACATTAATTTATAAAACTGATTATTCATTATACATTTTAATATATACTAATATACATACATATTAATACTAATAATACATCCCAGGAAAATATTATGACAGATTTGTTTAGTATCAATTTTGATCATTTTTATTGGTTGAACTTTAATTTAAAAAAATTTATTTTGATAAATTTAGTTTTATAGTGATTGAAGTAGCTGATCAACCAGAGGTTACAACAGTTGCAGCATTAGATGTCAATATTTTTTTGGGTTGCAACCTCCCGAGTTGCAACTTCCTAGTTGCAGAGCCATCTTTAATTGAGTCATATGAAAAACATATTAATTGAGCCAGGCGCAATTAGAAATTGAGATTTTGGAAATTGAATCAAAGCCAAATTAACATGCACAATACAATTGTGATGTTATACAACATTATTGATCCCCGAAAGTTTTGGTAATGTTCACTTTCTCTAGCATGCCCCATTTTATGTCTACTATTTCTTCTAATTGTGATTTTTGTGACATTTAATTAAATTGACCCGGTTTTGCTGGAGAACCATATCACAGTAATAGGTAGTAATGAGTAAATGATAACATTCATTGGTTTCAACGTATTATTTTATGGATTGATATAGGATATTTATGTTGTCTCAAACCATAGGCATCCTTTATTATTACATTGTAATTATAGCAAGAGTTTTCATGCTAATGTTTTTGCTGAATTATTTATTACCAATTACAAATAAAAAATATTGCTAAGAATCTATTTATTTTATTGTTTGTAATGATCGGGATATTATAAAATTATCCAATCAAACAATTTCTTTATTGATCAACCAATCACAGATGAGTACCGCTATGTTGGTTTCTGAAGTTTGAATTTATCCGATTTCTTGAATGCTAATCATTAAAAATTACGTTTTACAGCCCCCATTGATCTGCGTGACATTACCCGAAATTCAGGGTCCCAAAAGTTATGCGTAGATCATTATAAATAAATTCCTTTATATTTATTTTTTTGAAAATGTTTTTGAAAGAGAGAAATAAATAAAACGGGAGATAAAAAAATGTTTAAATTTCAAAAAGGAGAAACTGTATTTTGTTATCATGGACCAACATATTACCCAGCTCAAGTAAAAAAATTAGACATAAGAATTTTGATATATTTTATTTTCATTTATTTTCATCTTCAAATGATGGCTTAAAATGGTTGTTTTTTTTTAGATTCTTGATACAAAGATAAATTATATTGGAAGTACAGTGGGTCCACAGTATTTCATACATTATAAGGGCTGGAATAAAAAGTAAATCAAAAAATATCTAGAATGATGATTTTTTAAAAATTTAAAGATATTATTATCCATTATTAATATTATTTATTATCCTTGATATTTTGAAATAAAACAATATGAAAAAAAGATGGGATGAATGGGTGCCAGAAGATAGGATTTTTGAGATGACTCAAGAGAGAATAAATGATTTAAATAATAATAATAATATGATGACGAGAAATAGAACTATTTCAACAGAGTCAAGTTCATCTTCACCTGCACCAAAAGGGTTTTCAATAGATCAAGATTTAACTGATGATGAAAGGAGTAAACCAAATAATTATAAAAATGGTTTACCAATTGAAATAATTCAATTCAGTGGGAAATTCTTGGTTAGTATTCATCCATCAACCCATTCATTTATTTGTTACTTGTTTGTTGTTTATTTGTCAAATTCTTATTTTAAGCTGCTGATTAGTTTATTGTTTGATTTTATTTTTGCTTAGACAAGGACTACAAAACACAAAATTCAAATAAATATTAGTGATGAAAGAATGGTAAAGTTGGCAGATGAGTGGCAATGGATAACAAAAAATCAAATGGTATAATTGGATTATTTTTTGGGAAATAAATATTAATAGAATTAATTTATTTAATAAAAATGAACCAAACAATCCTTATTTATTTCACAATATTTGTAGTTGGTAATTCCACTACCATGTGGCAAGACAGTGAATCATATTTTAGATGAATTTTTGGAGTATAAAATGGAAAAATTTGGTGGGAATAAATCACCAGGATCTAATTTAAAGAGAACAACGCAAGAATGTGAATTGATGGAAACAATTGATGGAATTAAAGTATATTTCAATGAAGTACTTCCAATATCTTTGTTATATCGATTTGAACGACAACAATATGTGGAACTTGTTGATAGATATCCTGATCATCAACCAGCTTCTATTTATGGAGCAGAACATTTAATGAGACTAATAGGTAATAATGTGTATATATTTGAGTTACTGGTTATAACTATTATTGACTTTCGAGTATTTTTTTAGTGAAATTACCTGCCTTAGTAAGTAAAGTTCAGATGAAAGAAGAAAAAGCACAACAGATTCAAGAAGTATTTCAAGAACTTTATGGGTAAACTTATATAATTATATCAATCTAATCTAATATAAATTATAATCATAATGATAATTAATAATTATTATATTTATTGTTATAATAATAGTTTTATGGAAGAACATTCTAATGAATATTTCATTAAAAGTTATAGTTATGCCACTCCTGCTTATATCAGAGTAATATGGGAGTATTAAATCAATAAATATTGGCTTATCAATTGATTTATTTATTATTGAATATTAGAAATATTAGAATATTAAATAGAAGTATAATAGTGAACGTTTAGTTTCAGGGGTCGAAATTGTTAAACACTGTAATAGTGCCCCTATTATTATTTAGTAATTTTCAAGGAAATACCGGAATTACTTAATATAATTTTATTTAATTAACTTATGTATTTATTCATTGTTATAATGTATAATTCTGCAATAGATTGGATCCGTCCAAAAAAACCTTACCCGGGTCACTCGTCAGGCAAACTACAGGTTACCCGGGCGGTTTACGGATCTTTCTATATATTAATATGGGCTTAATATTTACACAATCAATAGATAAAAATAATTTTTATCTATTGGTCCCAAACTTTGCAATATAAATTATTTTTTTTACAAACAATAACTGATTCATTACTTCATGCCCTAAACATGCTCTTTTAGAGGTAACCAAATTTTTTTGCATAAGAAAAAAAACACTCACATGGAACAGAGGTGGTAGGAATTGATAAGTATTTATGTGTAATTCTACTAAAAATGGGAAAAGGGTTCTGATTGTTCTTCCACCATTGATAAACATCAATTCTTTCAAATTGAATTAGAGCTATCATTTCATTTAAGCAATTATCTATTATCAGGAATAATATGTTAATATAAATTTGAAACAAAAATTATACATAAGAAACAATTGATCTTACATTAAAAAGAACTCAACAATATCTTAATTGTTAATTAATAAAAAATAAAAGAGATAGAAGTTGGCCATCTTGAGATAAGTGGGAGTATGGTCATCAAGAGCCACCTAAGTCAACATGGGATCATGTTAAAGGGGCTGTTAGCTTCATCAATCATTATACTCCAATAAATTGAGGAATTCAATTCTTCAAAAAGGGATTTTTTTATTACAGAGGCTATACTATACAAAAAATCAATAGTAGATTTAAAATTTGTATGGCTTCCATATGTTGATCTAGAAGTAGATGTTTCTTCTAAAGTAGCAGGTTTCAGAGTAGAAGTTTTTTCACTAATTGTTAATTGATTATTATTTTCAAACTGTAATGTCATTAATTTACATAATTCAGGATAAATATGAGAGGAAATATTTTGCTTAGATAAAAAATAAACATTTTTCATTAATGAAATAATTGCTGTTTGTTTTTTATTTAATTCATTTGAAAGTTGTGATTCTGACATTTTGTGTTCATTGGTTTTTAAATGTCTTTTAATTCCTTCCTTCTGGACCTAAATATTTTGTACCTAGTGCAAATTTTGTACTTCCATTTCTACTTCTACAAAGTTTACAAAACAAAAGTATCAAACAAATTTCTATTAACAATTTTTCTATGATGTGTTTGTTGATTGGACATTTTTAAATGAATTAATTGCAATAAAAATTTGTGCTTTTTTAATTTAGATTTTTTATCAGTTTGAAACATAGAGTATCAAAAAACAACTTGTATTTATAGTATTTTATTGGAATTAATTATGCCTGAAAACATCAATGATTTATTGTTAATAAATGGGTAATAAATAAAAGTATTTTGTTTATTTAGAATTATAACTGTAAACACCAATGATTTATTTTTAAATAAAAGTATTTGTTTATTTTTGTATTGTAAAATTGGAAAGTTGCACACAAATAAAATCGATCAAGTATTCAAACCAGTCCAAATTCATATTTTTATTCAATCACCAATAAAATAATTGACTCGCGGAAAATATCTCGAAATAAATATTCTAGCATTCTAAAATGCAACAAACCTTTAATTCCGAGATTTAATTTAAATGAAGGAATTTAAATGATTGGATCACTTTAGAAAATAATTCTACAAGAAGGTTCAAGTAATACATTTAATAGAATAAATTAAGGTTTCAAAGAAATCGAGAACTAGATGATAGAACCTTTAACATGTATAAATAATGTTGTAATTTTCTTAACTTCATGTAATCATCATAAAATATCATCATAATCATCTTTTAATCATCATAATAAATAACACCGTCCTTAACCTTGACCTTGACCTTGTTGTCTTCAAATATTATATTTTCATAATGATAATAAATCTATAACCTAACAATGAATACATACTAATCCCGTGCATAATTATTTTCTCTTATTTTATATTTGTCTCTATTATTTTTATTATTTTTATTATTTCTTTTCTTTTCTTTTAATGAGGTAATATTTAATAAATTTTATTTAGTAGTTTTGGAGATGTATCTGACTTGGTAGCAAGGAGGAAAACGACTAGAAGGGCACCCACCAAGAAACATGATCAGAATACATAGTGCAAAATCTAAAGAAGATATTGTTTAGTATTTCTTAGTATAAGAAATTGTTTAATGATGGTAAAAGATAGTTTTGAGAGTAAAGCATTAATATAAATTCACGGAAATTGTTGTTATAAATAAATTGGAAGAAATTGTATTAACATTGTTGGCACATCATCCATCATAAATAAAATCTAGAGATTTGTGCGAGACGCGGATTTCGATCTTGCAGTATTCAAAAAAAATAAATAATTTATTAAAAAATCAATAATAAATAAAAGTATTTTGTTTATTTTTGCATTCAAAAAAATAGAATTATAACTGAAATCATCAATGATTTATTGTTAATAAAAAAGGAAAGTATGTATACCTGAAGACATCAGCAATTTATTACTAACAAAAAGTGGAATTATCTATACTTTGTTGCACGAATTTTTCTGCACAATTAAATTATTGGCTGGATTAAATATAACGCACTCAATTTCCAACACTGGACGTGCTAGTGAACTTTTATATAATAACATGTTACTTCTAACAAATTTTAAAACGAGTATATAGCAAGATTGGAGTAAGTTTTCGATTGTTTTAGAACACTTAATTGACGATCCGTGAAAATTGACCGAAAAAAACACTAATCGGTAACCTTTTATAAAAAGAGTTTCTATACTTTTGTCTTGCAAGATAAAATTTTTTTGTGTACATTAATAAAATAAATCTCTGAGAACATATTTATATGTATTTTTTATTGACCTTAATTATGTAAAAAAAATTTTTTTTCTCTTTATGATGTGTTGATTTTTAGAATTTTGTTATTGAAAAAAATCTGATTTTTGTAACATTTATTATTTCTTACTATTACGTTGATACGTATATTATAAATAAATAAAAAATGCTTGTAATAATAATTCCACAAATATGTATTTATGCTTTATCTATCTATGTTTCATTCTATGTCTGACTAGAGTCACTCTCTAATAAATCGATAAATAAAGCAAAAATATCAACAAAAAAACTTTGTTAATATTAAAAATAAAGGCAGAAAAATCATGTCATTAAATTGATTCATTAGAATTCATAGACGGATCATCAATTAATATTATTTCTCTTTTTTCTTTTAATGTCGATATATTTTTCACTTTAATATGTTGTAATTTATTTATAAAATTATACATAAAGCGAAGTTTCTTTTGATAAACCGATATTATTTGTCTTATTGAGTTGTATTTAATATATGTGTGTGGAACCCTCGTCTTAACATTTAAGTGAAACAATAGTAATAGGAATATTCGTCTCATTGAGTTGATTTATTGATAAATGAATAGGGAAACTAGAAAAACTTCGTTATAACAAAAATTCGTTTTATCGAGTTACGTCTTATCGAGTTCTGACTGTAGACATGTGGAAAATTTTTGTTTTGAATAGTTTGTGTTACAAATTTCGGTGTGTAGCTAGTGTAATTTCTACAAATTTAGATATCATCTGCAGAAAATCACTAATGTGTAGTTATCACTGTGCTATATCATGGGATTTCGAGAACTTTATTCCCTCTTTTCCTCTTTAACATTCACCTTCATATATCATTTAAGATAAACATTCAATTCAATTCGATTCAATTTAATTCAAAAAAGCATGAATTTTTATGTAACAACAATAAATAATATTTTGAAACGTCAAAGCAATAATGTTCTTCCAAATTCCAAAAAACTTGCATTCACTTCTTTAATGAAAAGTTTTCATTGTTCTGCTAATTTAAGAAATGTTTCTCCTGCAACGAATTCTTCACAAATACATATATTACTTCTTGGTAGTCCGGTATGTTATGTTAGAAGCATGCGCATTGTTTATAAATCTTTTGTTTGATAAAATTCAATGAATTAAATACCAATTCGCAATAGATGTTTTATAATTTAAAAATTTTGGTTTTTTATAATGCATATCCATTATTGGTTTAAAAGGGGTCGGGAAAAGGAACCCAATCATCTAGAATAAAAAAAAATTTTAACATTTCTACTATTTCAAGTGGTGACATTCTTCGTCAGAATATAGCCCATGGCACAAAAATTGGTGAAATTGCTGGAAAAGAAATTGAACGTGGAGGTGAGAAGATAATACACAAGATTATATATACAACAGCAATAAATAATTTATTAGATATGTATGCACATTTTCGTCCTTAACAATATTGACTTATATATATTTATGTATTTATAAACTCTTAGCATATGTTTCTGATGATATTATGATTGAACTTATAACCAATGAACTTTCTACTCTTAAAAATGAGGTATATTTGATCAATAATATCGTTCAGTTGTCTTATTTCACGATAATGTTATTTATATATATTTTTTAACTTAAAAAAAAATAAGAATTGGCTGTTAGATGGATTTCCGAGGACCATAAATCAAGCAATTGCTTTAGACAATGACTTAATCTTAAATAATCAGCCATTGAATATGGTTATTAATCTTCATGTGCCTGAAGAAGTTATTTTGCAGAGAATAATCGGTATGCACATAATAACAATAACAGCAACAATGATGTTTCAATAATAACTGATCATAGACTTTATTATATTTTTTTCTTCAATTAAATTAAGATCGATGGGTTCATATATCTTCAGGACGTGTATATAATTTAAGTTATAATCCGCCAAAAATACCTGGATTAGACGACGTTACACGTGAAAGATTATCCAAACGTCCAGATGACAATCCAGTGTGTTATTATTATATTTTTTTGAAATAAAAATAAAAATTATTTAATAATGTTGTTAATAATTTTTCTTATTTATATTTGCAGGAAGTATTTAAGATTCGGCTTCAAAAATATCATGAGTTAACAGAGCCTTTGCTGGAATATTATTCAAAACGTAACATATTGACAACATGTAGTGGATGTACAAGTGATGAAATTTTTCCAAAAATTAAATATGAACTTATTAATAGATTTGGAATTGGTCATTTAATCAAAGAAAAGCTTCCCGAAGATGAAAATGTTTTAGATGCTGTTAATTTAAATTGAAGAGGAAAAAATCATATATATATATTAATAATATATTGATTATTGGATTTATTGTATTGTATATAGGGGGACATGATAAGCATTTTTTTTTACAAATAAATTTATAATAAATAAGCTATAATTACATTATGATTAATAAATTATAATTACAGCAAGTAAATAAATAAATAAATTATTATAATTATATGAATTACATTAAAAAAAATCTTTGCTATTTTCAAAGTCAATTAAAAAGGAAAGAAATGTGATCAATTAACTTTACTAAAAATAGTAGGCTTTCCTGTATATTCACCCGCCTCTTTGCTTTTGGCTTTAAAGTTTTCCATAATTTCTTTAACTTGTGATCTATCTAAATCATCTCTTTTGGATAGTATATCTTCAATAAGTTTTAATGGAACATCTCCATATGCTTTTTTCAGATCATAATAATCAATAAATATTGTTTTACGTGAACTTTCTAATAATGTATGAATCCTGCTTAATGCATTGAATATCACTTTGTATTGTTGTGCTGGGATAACCTGTTGAAAAAATTCAAATGCCAATGTATCATCATTTTTTATTCGTGTAATACAATCTGGTTTCTTGAACTTGGCTCCTTTATTACGCATTGCTTCAATATTCGCTATGACAAATCTTTCTCCTAAACTTAACATTGTCTTATTAAGAAGATATGGATGCATACGTGTTTGAAAATCATTTGCGTAATCTTTAATTGTTTCAATAATTACCAACATAAAAGTGTTCTGATACCAATCCTCCAAATAAAATTGATTAAAAAGTTTCTTTAAATCGTTATATACAACATCTACCAATGTGCTAATACAATTATCTGATATTCCCATAAATCCATCCATTGCTAAACGTAGATTATCATTTATCTGATTTCGATATTTTTCTGAAAGTAAAGGCTCTAATCTTTTTACCACATCTTCAGTAAATTCTGCGCATCTTAACTGATCATTAGCTAAAGCAATGCAATATTCAACAAAACCTTCTTGAGTTTCCTCTGGTTTTTCAATATGTTTTTTAAGTTCTGTTACTAACAAACTTTTCCATGTATTTTGTGTATCAATCATTGCTGTACTACACTCCTTCACCACATCTGCTAAAATTTTACCCTGTCCTGATTCTGCCGCAACATCTATTTGTTGATTAACCATTTGAAACATAATCACTGAACCAGTCAAACAAAACAAATTATTTGCACCAACTTCTGGCTCTTTGACACGATTAGTAAATTCACTAATTTCTGTGCTCATTAAATTTGTTATCCATTCATCAAGTCTGATACGTATCAATTTAAGATAGTCATTAACCAGGTCCTGTTCATTTCCATCAAGTAATGGCGGTTCTAAAATATCTTCAGAAATGCGCATCTCTTTATTCATTTTTTTGTAATATTGCCTGATCCAATTGATTAGACGTAGGATAGTACCTGCATCGGGATCTGATTGAACAAGTTTATTAAGCATGTCATATACATGTCTGTGATATGCTAAAACAAAAACTGAGAATATGCCATATTTTTTAGGAAAAAGTGGAACTATTTCTTGATCTACCAATGCTAAATCATTGAATATAAAGTTCATCTCTTCTAATAAAGTCATAGGTTCATTTTGAAATTCATTGTAAAATGCTTCAAATAACTCTGAAATCGAATCATTTAATTTATCTTTAAATTTGCTCCTATAAGACTTAATAACTCGTGGGCTAGTTTGAATAGATTTGAATTTAGAAGCGAGATCTTGATAACTATGCCTTGCATGTTCAGCTGCAGTTGCACGTTCATCCGTACGTTCCTCTATTTCAATTATTTTAACAAGTTTAACTATCACAGGCCTTCTACCGTTTCTAACTAATTCTATCATATTCTTTGCAATATTCCAAATGTAATCCTCAAAATCTAAAACTAATTCGTCCAACTTTTTAAAATATTGTTTCAAAGTAATAACATCATCTTCTTGAGAAGAATTGTTTGCTTGATACATTGTATAATCTCGAAATCTTTGAAGTTGAAAAATTTGATAATGGACAAATAATAAATTTTCAGCTGGTCCGAGTATATTTTGTTTGTCTTGTTGCAACATATTTTGAATTTGTTCAACTACTATATACATTTCTTGTAATTTTTGAACAGTTTCTTGCGTTGCAACAAAGTTCTTATGTATTTGTGAAATCTGGTTTTTTTTTCGAAAAGAATACAACAATATAATAATATTTATTAAGATGTATAAATAATGTGTATATATATATATATTCAAACATTTTTACCTTATTAATCCTAGGAAAATCTTGAATCATATTTTGTGCCTCTGAACATAAACGATCAATCGTTTGCATATTTTCCCTAATAGTAAGCATTTTTTTTTTTGCATTTGTTAAGGCATCAACTCCTTCTTGAGTAGTGTCCAATTGTAATTTAACACCAGTTTTAAGTTGTGCATCAATGGAAGCCTTTTCTATAGCGAATCTTTTACGTATCAAGCTAGTTTTAACCAAATCGTCTGGAGATCTTAAAAGCTCTGTAATTCGAGCAATTGCTGCATCAACAGCATCACTAGAAGATTCCATTAATTTGGAAGTTTTAGTATTCATTTTTTTTTAAAAAAATTTTGTGTAATTAATCAATCATATGCTCCTCACATACGATTTTGTCACAATAATTCATATATATTAATATATACAACTCTAAATTTTATTATCTTTGCAATGAAATACACATAGGAATGTAATTTCCAAAGTAACTTTTATTTTGAGGTATTTATAAATTTTAAACCAGTTAAACAAAATTTTCAGTGGGTGAAATTAATTGTTATCACATATCATATAATGTGATCAATTTTCTTAGATATCACTTAACTTTGATGAATAACGAAAATTGATTTCTCATGAATCAACCAATACTTCAACATAACAGATGATGATGTAACGAATTCATTTTTATCAAATTATGGTTTTTCAACACCTACGAATCTTTATTTGGTTGATAAACCTTTTAGAAACCTACATTATAAAACATCAAAAAAATCAAAAAGCCTTGAGCAAATATATTAGCAGCTGAAAGAAACCAAAATGCCACTTTGAATGTTCCAACTTGTAAGTTCAATTTCTCTTTATTAATGATTATTGGAATTAAGAATAATAAAAATTGTTAAATATTGCAGATTCTAATATAGAAGCACCACCTTCAATATTTCCACAAAAGAAGTACTGTGATTTAACAGGATTAGAAGTAAATATAGTGTTCCTATAATTAACATTAACATAATAAAATAATTGGCTCCTGGTGTTGTTCAAGAATATTCAGGGTTGAGAAATGCTGCTGTTGTCTTGAGGTAATGATAATGTATAAAAAAACACATAATAATAGCAATTTTTTGATTAATTTATAATCAATCCAAAAAAAGAATTTCACATTAATATTAGTGTTACTTGAAATTATCAAAACTGCAATGATTGATGTAAATCTTACCAATAAAATAACCTTATCTAACAATTTGCAATTCAAAGTTTTTTTTATTGAAAAGTTGTTAAGTTGTTAATTTGAACGCATTCTTTAAACATCTTTGAAAAAAAAACCACAAAATGTCTGATTCAGAAATCGATCTTCCAAAGGATGCTGCCGCTTATCTTAAGAAATTGCAGGAGAGACCACTTGTGATTCCTGAAATTGATTTCACTGTTTACGAAATTGGTGATGGTAATAGGGTTTCTACCCTGGAACGATATTGCAAAGGTTTGTTCACTAAGCATTAAAAAAAGTAGTGAATCCAATGAATTGTGTGTGTGTATATATATATGTAAATAGTTACTAGACAATACGAAAGAGCTTAATGGTGTTTAGTTTCAACTCTATCCTTTTCAACAGAACTTTTTAAGTGTTCACATTTGATACAACAAATATATAAATATTAGGAACTATGTTGCCATCAGACCTTAAACAAGTTTTGGAATATCTTTCATTAATTTCATCATTCAACTTGTATTTAATTATTCGCTCACTCAGACGTTCAAGCTCCCGCTGTTCAAAAACCAACACCTGAAGAATTCTTTTCAGAAGCAGATCCTTCCAAACCCGATATCGCATTTTTGAAGAATCATTTTTATCGTGAAGGAAGAATCACAGAAGAACAAGCTTTGTTTATCATTAACAAAGGGACTGAAATATTAAAGCAAGAACAAAATTTATTAGAAGTTGATGCTCCAATAACCGGTACTTAAATAAATCTTTATTATCATTATCATCATTGTTGTTGTTGCTGTTATTAATGTTATTATTATTATTTACATATTTATTTAATAATTATTTATTAACATATATTTAACTTTAATAATATAGTCTGTGGTGATATTCATGGACAATACTATGATTTGATGAAATTATTTGAAGTTGGCGGTAATCCTGCCGAAACACGCTATCTCTTCCTCGGTGATTATGTTGATAGAGGTTATTTTTCCATCGAGGTCTGTAAATAATTATAATGATAATATTAATAATTATTATTGAAAAAAAAATTTATATATTGTTATTATTTATTTGCTGTCATCCAGTGTGTTCTTTATTTATGGGCATTAAAAATATGGTACCCAAATACATTATTTTTATTGCGTGGTAACCATGAATGTCGTCACTTGACAGATTATTTCACTTTCAAATTGGAATGTAAGTATATTATTATATTATTATATTACAAAATTTCTTTTGCCCAGACGAAGTTACTTTTGATTAAAATATTTTCTGATTGTTTTATTCCTGTATATATATATATATATAGGTAAACATAAATATTCTGAACAGGTATATGAGGCATGCATGGAATCATTTTGCGCTCTTCCACTCGCCGCCATAATGAATAAACAATTTCTTTGTATTCATGGTGGTTTATCACCAGATTTGGTTACTTTAGATGATTTGCGTACTGTAAGTAGATTGATTGTTCATACCTGAATTTAAATTTTTCAAATAATTTTTAACAATTTTATTATCGTTGTTACTATCATTATTGTAATGACTATTTTTGACTTTGATAGATTAATAGATTTAGAGAACCTCCAACAAATGGGTTAATGTGTGACTTATTATGGGCTGATCCATTAGAAGAATTTGGACAAGAAAAAACAAGTGAAGGCTTTATACATAATCATGTTAGAGGATGTTCTTATTTCTTTAGGTATAATCAATTTGCTTGAAAGTTTTTTTTTAAAATAAAAAAAAATCTAACTTTTGAGGGAACCATACTAGTTATCTGGCAGCCTGCAACTTTTTAGAAAAAAACGGATTATTGTCTATAATCCGTGCTCATGAAGCTCAAGATGCGGGGTAATTATTAAAAAAAAATTTTTTTCCTTTTAAATCATAAATTTTAATCGACTTATTTTTTTAACAATGTTTCTTTTTATAGATATCGAATGTACCGAAAAACGAAATCTACCGGTTTTCCTTCTGTCATGACAATTTTTTCAGCTCCTAATTATTTAGATGTATATAATAATAAAGGTTTGATATAAATGTTTTTTTTTTGTTTATTTAAAAATTTATATATTTAGAAATATCTGATAACAAGGAAAATCTCCAATATATTATATATTATATTATTAGCTGCCGTATTGAAATATGAAAACAATGTTATGAACATTCGTCAGTTTAATTGTACACCTCATCCATATTGGTTACCCAATTTCATGGATGTTTTTACCTGGTCTCTACCTTTTGTTGGTGAAAAAAGTATGAAGCAATATTATTTATAGATTATTATTTTATTATTAACAAATTTTTTAATACACTTTTTTTTTTTAAAAAAAAAATATAGTCACAGACATGTTGCTCGTCATTTTAAATATTTGTAGTAAAGAAGAATTAGATGATGAAGAACTTATATCAGAGCCTAGAACTCCAGGTAATAAACAACAATAAATGAAATTTGGAGCAATAACCGGATTTATAATATCATTATTAAAAAAATAATTACTGCCGGATCATTATGTGAATAAAAAGAAAAACAAATAAATTTATTATTTTATAATTTTTTACGTACAAAATAGAACAACAGCAACCTGTTGCTACTACCGCCGCTGCCGCCGCCGCCGCTGATACTACTGAAAGACGTCAGGTTATCAAAAATAAAATTTTAGCAGTTGGTAAAATGGCCAGAGTTTTCTCAGTTCTAAGGTATCTATGTTTATTACTATTAAATTTATTATTATTATTATTATTATTATTATTACTATTATAATGATAGATACATGATTTAACTGATTATTATTTATTATTTGTTATTATTATTCTATTTTTCTAAATTAGAGAGGAATCCGAACGTGTAATGGAATTAAAGACCGTAACAGGTACTGGTAAATTACCATACGGTACATTGGCTTTAGGTGCTGAGGGTATTAAAAAAGGTAAATATATTATTATGTAATTATATATATATATTTATATTTATATTTATGAAATCAAACTAATTTATAAATCATATATAAAGCTATAAATTCATTTGAAGAAGCGCGTCGATCAGATATAGAAAATGAACGATTACCACCTACTCGAGAAGAGACAGATGCAGCAGAACAATTAAAAACACAAGCAGCAATCGCTGCAGCTGTAGAAGAAGTTAATAATGATCAAGAGCTTGCTGAAGTCGCGGATGTATTTGTTAAAGAAGATGAGAAAAGAAGAAGTTTAAAAGAAATAGTTTTTGCTAGTGCCTAGTTCACTTAATAAATAATTATTATGATTTTAATTATTTTCATTTATTTTCTTAATTTTCACATAAACTTATTCTTACCATTAATAATATAGAAAAATTATTTTAATTTTTTTTCTTTTTGGAATCTTTTTAATAACTTTATTATTTATTATTAATTTATTTTTATGAAAATTATAATTTTTTTATTTATTAACTTATATATATATATATTAAAGAAAATTGTGTCTGTAAATTAATTTTTTACATGTTATCACGGTGCAGGTTATCTATCAATACTCAAATTTGAAATATCATGTGATCCACATGTTGGATTTAATAATTTTCGTGTTTGTTGTTATTTAATATTAAGTGATATATATATATATAATTATCTCTATATAAAAATAGTTAATATGTAACTCATTTATATCAGATCTACCATGGAACCCAATAATTATATATAGTACTATGGAAGTATTCTGAAAAAGAAGCAATATGTTTTTTAAATTTTTCTAATGATAATTTAAATGCTTATCAACATGGATCTTTTTTTTTATGATTTATAGTATGGCTGCAAAACAAAATAATTTTCTTCCATCAACATAGTGGATTTTTTCCTCAGATGTTTCTGATGCAGTAAGCACCATTTTGTCATTAATATTATTTTGAAAGGAAAATTTTGTTGATCACTTACATAAAAGTAAATTATTATGCTTTATGCCAAAAAAAAAGTCTAATTATGCTCAATGTGTGTTTATGCCAAAAAATTAAGAATTATGCTCCAATTATGCGAAAGCATAATTCTGGACACCCTAATAATCCTTCTCAATCATGTTTTTCTGATGCAGGAACAATTAATCATAAAAGGGGAAGCAAAAGCTAGGGCTACCAGATGCCAACAACTTGTAGTCATCACACAAAAAAGATTCAGTGTTGTTGCAGTTTGATTAATTTTATTGGTCTTTATGTAGATGTTGTAGTCAGAATTGCATGACAAAAGAAAAAAACTGATGATGAATCTGATGAATAATGATCAAGAACATTGAGCAATCAAATGTTGCTACATATATTTTAGCAGACAAGAATTTCAATTCATGATTTATAATTAATTTTGAGTATTTGGATCAAACCAGGTCAAACAAATCATTTAAATCAATTCTTATTCAATCAATAATTTGAATTAAGATTGATATGTAAAGCTCTGAATAAGCTGGGTTTGAGCCGACTTGAAATTTAATATAAAAAAATCATAATTATAGAAGTTAAACTACAGTCAAGCCTCGTTTCAACGAATCAATAGGACACATAAGAAAATTGCATCTAAAATCGTTATACCAAATATTACTAATCACGTTTCAACGAATTGTAACGTCGAGTTAATATTAAAACTTTATTTTACAAGTTCGGGCTGAGCTCAAAAATAAAATAGAATAAACTAATAGTAAACAAGTAGCAATAAATAAAATTGATTATGTAAAAAAAAGATCAAATCAAGTATTCGATTATTTGAGGCTATCATTCGTTGCCTGAAAAGAAAATTGGCTCGTTCGAAGCTATATTACGAATCACTCGAATAAGAAATTGTATTTACGGATAGAAACTCCATTACTATCTTATACGGATTTACTGATACTAATTACTATTACTATTACTATTACTATTACTAACAACCAAAATAATAAAAGTTTTTGTCGAAGCACATCTAATTTCAATTAAAATTTATTTTACTAAAGCAGTTTTTAAAAACTACACAAGAAATATTACTCTTTCAGGGAAGCTTTATTGCAACTTTTTAATCATTATATAAATCTCATAATAAGGATGAAACAGATCTCTGAAGAGGTTTCCGATGTTGCTCTTCAAAAAAGAACGGAAAGATCTATAAACTTTTTACTAATGTTGTTAATGGGAATGAAAAAATTAGCAAAAGAATCATATATTCTGCATCATTTCTATCAAAATCGACATTGATTATGTGTTAGCTAAACTTTTAAGACTTTCCTTCTGTAAAGGAATGTATCTAGTCTGAGAAAGGCTTTCGTTAATTAAGCTACGTGTGTTACAATTTTCTAATACTTTTGCTGTACTGCGCCATAATAACGCACTCCCTCCCATCTTCTTCTCTTTGCTTGCGTAACATAATAACATAGATTATTATACGTACCGACCGGTTTTTATTATGACCATATCTCCGGATTGGAGCCTTACGAGGAAAACATGGATGTCGACGTGGATATAAGAGAAGCTCTTTAATTACAATTTGGATGACGTAATACGCGTTTAGTTTGAAATTTGGTTTCACATACACGAAATATTATATTTTATTATTTACGAGAAAAAGGAAAAAAATGTCTGAAAACTCATATCGTCGTAAAAAACAATCACAAAAAGATGCCGCCGAAGCCAGTAATAATAGTATACTTTCTTACTTGACACCACGAGCTCCATTATCAAATATAACATTTCAGAATAATAACGACAACTGCAACAAAAATCTTTCTACCAGGGAAACTGTAACTGACATTAACGAATCACCTCCAAGGAAAAGAATAAGACACGATAATTTCTTTACTCCTCAAACTCAAACTTCCCTTCCAATACTACAACATGAAAGAAATTCAATTATCAACAATAGTGGAAATATTGATAAAATTGAAAATAAAATAACTTTTTTTACTAAAAAGACTGTTAAGCCATATATGGGATTGAATGCAGTAATAGCTTTATATAATAGAGAGGTTTACGGAAATCCAAGAGGTTATCTTCAAGCATCAAAAAAATGGAATTGTGTGTTTCTATGACATTTTCATTTATTTATTTTTAATCATTTAATCATTTAATAATTTAATAATTTAATCATTTAATCTTTCATATTAAGCATCAACTCGTCACTTAATGAAAGATTTTTTAAACAACCAACAAGACGTATTCAGGTTCACAGGAGAACAAGGATTAGTTGCACCATTTGCTTGTTCATTTAATAATGGTATAACAGTAATAATAAGATAAATTTATGAATTTAATTATTTAATTATGAATTTTAGTGTTTATTATTATAATATATATTTGTATACGTATAAAGTTGCTCGTGAAAAAAAGTATCTAGCAGTAGCTGACGAGGAAGGAACAGTGGGACTAATTGACGCAAGATATGATAATACACTTGAAACCGGTATTTAAAAAAAATCTATAATACATATATATATGTGCTAATAAAACATCATTTAAAGTAATCTATTAATATTGACCATTCGTTTTTAGAATGTGCTAGAGTTGGATTTCGTGCTCATGATAATGCTATTTTTGATATTATGTGGAGCCATGATGATAAGTCTTTGGTAATGTGATATATATATATATATAAATCATAAATCATAAATCATTAATCATTAATCAATAATCCATTTAATTTAAAGGTCACTGCCTCGGGTGATCAAACAGCGTGTTTATGGGATGTAGAGTCACAACAATCTAAAGCAACGTTTTGTGGTCATACATGTAGCATTAAATCTATCAGCTATAGTGCTTTGGATCCATATTTATGGTCAACTGCTTCTAGAGATGGTAATATATTTATTTGGGACATAAGAACTGTAGGGCTTCAAAAATCCGAAACAATGTTATATAATCCAGCAATGAGTATACTATTTGCACATTCACCAGAATCTTTTAGAAAAAAAAGAAAAACCTATCCATTTCCTGTAAGAAGTAAGCCAACAAGTAGTGTTACTGGCGCACAATTTTTAAAACATGATGAAAATCTATTGGCATCTTCGGGGGCACTTGACAACATTATAAAATATTGGGACTTGAGAAAACTTTCTAATCTAAGACATGCAAATCCAGTTCAAGTATCCATTAGCGGAGCTACAGCAAGACGCCCTCATGGTAAAAATCCAGATCTATCTTTTCTTTAGATATTTTTTTTATATTTTGCTTTTGAAGATTTGATTTAAAACTATTAAAAAAAATAGGCATATCAACTTTATTAATAAATAATGATGGATCAAGATTATATGCAAATAGTACTGATAATTAGTAAGTTGCTTTTCTAAAAAAACTACAATATATCACACACACGTTAATCCTTCTTTATTAATTACCGACGTTTTTTAGTGTTTATATGTATGACGCACTGAATTTAGGTGCACCATTAACTCGATTCACCGCTCCAGATTTTCGATGTTCATCATTTTATGTTAGAATGGCAATATCACCTGATGATCAATATATTGCTTGTGGATCAACTGATAAGAATATTTATATATGGGAGGTTGATTATCCTGATGTAAGTCCAATTGTATTAAAGGGTCATGAAAATGAAGTTACAAGTTTAAGTTGGTCGAAAAACTTTGATACGGTAAGACCCAGCATGTTTGCTGTTTGTTATGCAATGTTGAAAAGGTTTTTAAAAAAAGGAAAAAATAGAGCATTTATTTATTTGATTTGGTTTTTTTTTTTTAGATTTCTTCTTGTTCAGATGATACATTTTTAAGGATTTGGAGAATTAATCATTCAACAATTGAAAATATTTGACATTGAATTTATTTTTCAAAAAAAAAAAAAAAAAAGAATTTTATACATATATATGATAATTCCATTAAGATTCTATCTTTTTTATTCCTCCTTTGTAAGCATAATTATAATAATATAATATAATAATAAATAATAAATTTAAATTCTGATGTGTGGTCACATGATATTCCAATTTTATCTTCTTTGATGATCATTTTATTAATATTAATATATTACTGTATATATTATGAATATACCAACCTTACCGCGCGAAGAAGTTATCGCATTAATCATTAGGTGAGCTATATAGTAAAGGAATAATATATAATATTTGTAAAGTTGGTTTTAATATTTTAATAATAAAAAATAATAATCAATTTATTAATTTATTTCATGTAAAAAAAATAAAAAATAAAATAAAAATAATTATAATAATTTAATGTGAAATATATATTGAATATTTATTTTTAAAATGATATTATTATATGTGATATGGAATTGATGTTTATGATGGGAGAAAAAGAAGGGTTTGTTTAATGTTTCATTAATTATGATTTTCAGATATTATTTATTAATTTTATAATAATAAACTTTTTTGAATAATCCAGGAATCATTTTTTTCTATATTAATATTATATATAATAATATTGCCTATGAATCTAGTCAATTATGTGAATATGGTTATACACAATTAGCTAAAGATATTGCAAAAGAAACAGGTAGTCAAACCGATTTGACACCTAGTTCTAAATTATCAGAATTACTTTACATTGTAAAATTACAAGGTCAGTGTTCACATGCAAGTATAAATATATATATATGTTTATTATCTGATTGATTGATTTGTAAAAAATGGCTTGATTTTTTTTCTTTTAGATGAAGAAAATAATGAAGAAGAAATGAAACCATGTGAACCACCAATTGATGACGAGCCTGATAGTAGTAGCAGTGCTACTGAAGATGGAGTATTTCATTCCAAATATTTGACACACGTTGATTCAGACACTAGAAATAGTAGTATGTATCATAGTAATATCATTCAATTGATTCATAATGATGTTATTATTATTATTCATTATTTAATTTTATTTTCAGTCCCTAAACCTGTTCCAATTTATTCAACTTGGTATATGACAACTCATAGAGCTGCTTCTACATGTGCTATTTTTAGTGGCGATGGTATTGAAAAATAATATTTGATTTATTACTAATTATATATATAATAATAGAAAACTGAAATTTGTATGAAAACAGGAAAATATGCTGCAACTGGATCTGTTGATGCCTCACTTAAAGTTTTAGACACATCTAAAATGAATAGTCGCTCTGACGAAGATAGGCCAGTCATAAGAACATTATATGATCATCTTGGTGTAAATATTTGCTTATATATAATAATATCAACTATATTATTACTTCACTGATACTCATAAATAAATATATTATAGCCTGTTAATGATTTATCTTTTCATCCAAATGGGTTGGTACTTGCTTCTTGTTCTGACGATCAAAGCATTAAACTGTTTGATTTATCAAAACCAGGAGTTAAACGCTCATTCAGATATTTACAGGTATATGTATATTCTTTTTAATTTTAAAATTAATAAATAAACTAATCAATTGATAATTGATAATTATATTCTTATTATTAGGATACACATATAGTAAAATCCATAGCTTTTCATCCTTCAGGAGATTATATATTAGCAGGTTTTGTTAAGATTTTTTGTGTTTTTTTTCACTTTTAAAATTCCAATTATTATTTTAAGCAATTTTTTATTTTTAAATATATTAGGAACTGATAATGAATCTGTAAGAGTTTACGATGTGAAAAAATTTCAATGTTTTACAGCATCCACTTCTCCTTCTGATATTCATAAGGATGGAATAACAAAGGTTTTTTTTTTTTTTTTTGGAAAGAGAAACATATGCCAAATTTAAATTTTTTTTTTTAAAGAAAACTGTCCTAAATTTAACAAATAGGTTAGATTTTCTTCTAATGGATCCCAATTTGTTACATCTTCGCTTGATGGCAGTATAAAAATATGGGATACAATAAGTGGAAGGTGTATAAAAACTATTGAAAGTGCACATGATGATACACCAGTGTCAAGTGCAAAATTCTCTAAAACTGGAAAATTTATACTTTCTGGTGGAAAAGATTCAACCGCTAGATTATGGGATGCAAATACTGGGAAGTTGATTCTAAAATATGAAGGTGCCGTTCATAAGGTATTGTTATTGTTATTGTTATTTTTATTTTTAAATGATTTTAAATTGGGGTTTTTAATTAATAATTTCTTGACCTTAGAACCAATCATTACAAACAACCTTTACATATAATGAAGATTATATTCTTGGCAGTGATGAAGTAAATTATAATATTATTTGTTGGGACTCACGTACGAGTCTTATACTTAAAAAATTGGGAGGTAAGTTAAAGTTGTATGATTTTTCTCTCATATTATAATAATATACTTTGGGATTTTAAATATTTTGATTTTTTTTATTAGGGCACACAAATATTGTAAGATGTATTGCAGCTTCACCAACTGAACCTGGTTTTATTAGTTGCGGGTAAATAATATATCTATTAAAATTGGTTTTTTCTTATGACATAAGGCTAATTTAATAAAATTTATTTTGGAAAAGTGATGATTTTCGCGTTAGGTAGTAAAATCTGTAATTTTTTTCAATTTCTTTTTTGATCTTTTTTTTTTTTAAAAAAAAAAATTTAATTAAAATTTATAAATTTATAGATATTGGAATATAGATCGTTGATTCTCTTACATTGCATCACGTAGGTTTTTTTAAATAAGTTAATTATCATTGCTGCCGATGTTATAATATTTTGTTGTTACTGTAAATAAAATAGCTATGAACCTGTGCACTCTAAAAAAGAATGACATCTACCAAATTAATTTTAAACATATATTAATATATTAATTAAATTGTTATTGTTTAAAAATCATAGTATTGTAAATGTTTAAGGATAGAGGTAGTAGATAGTAGAGGATTTGTATTTTTGTAAAGATTTTTTATTTTTATATATACATAATTTAATTTTTTTAAAATTTTTTTATTTCTAATTAATTAATTAATTAAAATTTTTTGTTTTGTTTGTAAGGAAAAATTTGAAAAAAAAATTAAATCGCAACCCTTACGCATTATCTTGACTTAAGAGCAACCAAATGTATTTAAATCAAGTATCATTACTTAAAGGAAAAAACTATTTTAAGAAATAAAAATTCATTAATAAATAAACAAATATATAAATATTATGGTTTGTTTTTAGAGATAAAAAATAAATAAATTATTAATATAGTTACTATATATACTCAATATTTGAATTTTCGCTTATAGGAATCTAATTAAAAAAATTGATATTTTTTTTAAATATTACATTATTATTTAATAATTATTTCTGAATTTATTTCTTTCGATATCATTGATAAAATTTGTTTTGGACACAGATTGTTATAACTATTAATATTAATAATAATCTTTATTATCATTATAAAATTTAAAAGATTATGAAATATATATATATATAAATTACCTAAATGATGATTGTTTCCAACGATTTAGAGGATCTGAAATTGGAATTTTGCACTAGGGTAGAATAATGTTAGATAAAGAGAAATCTAAAAGATAACATCATTTTGATAGGCATGTCACACGTTAGAACAATATTAATATTAATATAAAACTGACATTGAATCATGTAACAAACATTTTGACTAAATAATAAATAAATAAGAGATTGCATCGTACTTCTTTTTTTCCATGAACATCAATTGCTGATAATATTTGAAAAATGAATGTTGTTATTGCTGTTTTCATTGTCACTGTTGCAGTTGTTAGATTTTGATGTTTCACATATGTCAGTTATTATTTCAACACCAAAAGTTTTCATAACTTCAATATTTATTAAGCAACATTTCAAATAGAGTGGCTAATATTTGGGTAGAGAAAACAAAAAGTTTCTTGATGTACTAAAGTCAAATTACTAATATAAATGATGGTGTTATATATAATTATGACAATAATTTGGTACTTTATTATTTATTTTAATTACCTTGATCTTAATTTCATAAAGAGTATTTTGACTTACATATCAGTCATTTAACAAATTAAATTCATTATTTTCATCATCAATTAAAAAGGTAGTCAGACTAGACTCTTTTCTTGCACCTCCAAAAAAATTTGTTCTATTTATTTTATTCAAAAGAATTTATAATTAATCAATTATTGATAATTCCTTTCTCCACCTTTTCAATTTATTTAAATAATGATGATGATAATTAATAATTACTTACTTGATCATAAGGCCACCATCAACAACATCATATGTGTAATATCAAAAGTTTTTAAAATGAACTTTGAGTTGGATTCGGCCAGAAACATTGTTGTTATAATCATAGCTTTCAAATATTTTAGAATTCCAAAGCACCGTTGTTAATTTTTTTTTAAGAAGTTATGTTGATTGATTAATATGATTATGGCATGATAATGATCTTTAATATTTGAATAGAACCTTGAATATTATAAATGCTTGTACACTGAAAGTAACACCCTCTTCTACTACATCAATAATAACAAGTTCCTGTAAAATTTAATAAATAAATTAAAACTTACACCTTTAAAAATTAGTTTATATTTGCTAATTATCTTACATTCTCTTTTATTTGTAATGCCTCTAAAGAGCATGTTAAATATGCACTCTGAACTATTTTTGATGAAAAAGTTCAATTTTTGATTAAAAACTCTTTCCAAATAATATTTACGTATATATTTAGGACATTCAATTTCGTGATCTGGTGTATAATTGTCACATGATGATAAATTGAAAAATATCCGCTTAGACCAGCCATTTATGGTATGATGCCGATCATCTAAAGACATCCAATGCTGCGCCAAAAGGTGGAAATTTTTCATGAAAATCTTTACTTTTTAAATTTTTAAATTCATACAATAAGTAGCCTATTTTTCTGAAAATCCCATCTTGATAATTGGATAAATTCATAAAATTTATTGTGCCGAACCTATGAATTTAACGAGCTTTGACTGTACTATTATATATATTGCATAATTTTTTGGCACCCGAGAGGGTGAGGTCTAGTACTATAGATAAAAATCCCAGATGGGGGCTCAACATCTATATAAAAATAGCCACCTTCATTCATTATCAATATTAAATTAAAAATTTTTCTGCATCATGAATTCAACGGTTACAACTAATTACGTTACTTTGAACTAACTAAAATCATCATCTTAACATACTCTCCCATTCTTAAATTATTTTCTATGATTTGATTATTTTCACTGGAGCTTTCCTTTCAATCTTTTTTTTTTATTCTTCTCAGTTAGTTATTTCTTCATTCTTCATTACTTACAAAATAATCACGCGCCTGTTTAATTTTATTATTATACACTTAATAGATGCTAAATGATTACAGTCAAAACTCGCCACAGCGGATTCATGGTTCCAACCAAAAAAAACCCCCGTTATTATTATTATGACAAGAAGTCCGCAGCGGCAAAATTGGTGATGATCGGGCAAAATTTTTTTAATAATACAAAGTTCTCTCTCTATACCGAACCCTCTGCCCATTATATGCATTTTTCTGCTTTTTGTTCATTATAGGGAGAAATTAACTATAAAAAATTGAATCGGAGATGGGCGACAAAAGGGAAATTCGTTATAGAGAAATTTACTTAGTGTTCGTTATAGATAGGTTTGGTATAGTGCAATAAATTAATAAACTAAATACAAAAATAAATAAATGAATAAATGAATAATACATACGGAAATGAAAATTATTTGTTGAAATATTTGGTTGTATTATCTAATAATTTCACTTTTTTAAATAGTTTAAATGCTTTAAATTCCTTACAATCTATTTCTAAATCATCTTGTTGAAGAAAATTAAAAGCTACTGTATTACGACATTTAGAAAGGAACTGTAACACGGCAACCTTTATAATTAAAATATCAAGTCAAATTTATATTTTATATTTTTATATAATGTCATATGTTAACCTATTATCATCATTATCACTAGAAAGACAGGGTTTTATACGTAAAACTTACAGTGAAATGCATAGTAATGCTAATTTAATTCTGAAAGAGAAAGTAGAAAAGATTATTTATTTTCATTAGTCAAGGAAAACAAGGAGCTTTCTGAATTTTGTAAGAAAAGGTTTATTTATAATTTTGAATTAGATAGGTGCTGTGAAGGTTGTATTAGTTTACAATTACAGAATCTTTTCACCACTTGGACATCTGGAAATAACATAATTGATGATTTTATTCAACAATGTCAAATGAAATCATCTCTGCCAAACTATATTTTAGAATGGATACCTTTTGAGCAATTTTATGATATAACAAAGTTGACAGAAGGTGGATTTTTACTGCTGGATGGATAAGAGGAAGTATTGTTGATTACGACGAAAATATAGTTATTTTGGAGAACAAGAAGTAGTATTAAAAAGTTTAAATGATTCAAGTAACCCAGGAAAAGCCTTTTTTGATGAGGTTGTAGTTGTCATTTAAACAAATAAACAATACTGTATTAGATAATACTAATTGATTTATATTCAAATAGGCAATAAATTATTTTAAATTTAATTGTTAGGTGCTATGGTATAACCAGATTCCCAGATAATGGAAATTATGCAATAGTTTTAACTTATGCTCCAGAAGGAAATTTAAGAGATTATTTACAAAAGAATCATTTAAATTTATTTAGTTATTTATGTTATGGATTATATCAGATACATGAAAAAGATTTAATTCATTGTGATTTACATACTTGTGGGAGGAGGTGGTTGTTATATTACAGATTTGGCCAGTTGATGATGAATCATCAAATAAAGTCTATGGAATTGTATCATATGTTGCACCCGAGTTACTTAGTGGCAAAATTAATACAAAGAATACAAAATAATCAGATATCTATAGTGTTGGGATGTTAATGTGGGAAATATTTGCAGGACATTCACCATTTGATGATAGAGCTCACAATCATCGTTTGATTTTTGATATATGTGAAGGTTTACGACCACCAATACTACCTGGAATGCTTGATGATATGCGCAAGTGATGCAGAGGTGTTGGGACGTGGATCCATCAAAAAGGCCAACTAGCGAAGAGCTTGCTATTTTTACTATGAATAAACGTAATGAAATTATTAAAAATAATAATAGTAATAATACTACTAGTATTAGTGATAGTAGTACTTTGCAACAAGCACACAAATCACATCCAGATGCATATCACACAAGTAGACTATTAGATGAAGAGATTGCTAAATCTAAAAGTTATACAAGTAATAGTTCGTTAAATAATCTTGATTGTAATTCTTTTTTCTAAAATGTTAACAAAGGTGAATAAATTTTCATTATTAATTAATTAGAAATTACTATATATCCATTATTAATAACAGACAAATAAAAACTCTCAATATTTACAATAAACAATAAACATCAAGTAATAACAAGTATGTTTTAAACTGGGCGTTTTCAAATAAAAATTGATAAAGTTTAGAATAATGTCTAATTAATAGCTCATTTCAT